ATTTCTAATCTACTTAGAAATTAGATTAGAACCCACCCCACCACCACTATGGGTGACATTAATGAAGTGTCCTGGCTGTGCTGAACAGCGGTGATTAGTTTTGGAAACCCTTCACCTCAAGGGAGGGCAGCAATGGCAGCTTGGTGGCTGTAGCAGAGCCCCCTGCAATGTGAGGGGTCCGTGCACCGAGCAGATCCATCACAGGTGTCCCCGAAGGCAACCTGCCTCCCTTACGTGGTGCTTGCTCTGAAGCCTCCTGTCTTCACACCTCCTTAGCAAACAATTGAATATGTGCTTGTATACAAATATAGGATATCTTTTATGTACTCTATGCACTACTTATATATATGTTATAAACACAATCTATTTCTCTACAGTGTGTATAAAACACTCCCCTGATGAGGCATGGTGCAACAGGTAGGCGATAGCAAGGCAAACTTTTAGACAGTTTTCCTGCCTTGACACCCTTTGTTCTCTACTCCTTGTATTGCTCGCCCATAACACCCTTACCTGCTTCACAGACTTTCAGTGCTGAAAAATCTATGGATGAAATAACCTCTATAAAAATCATCTTGACATACTAAGAATTATATTATTATTCTTAACTGACTAAGCAAATTCAATTTCTCTAATCAACAGAATGCTTGTGGTTCCTTCTGTCATCCCTTAAGGTTGACTCTGTTACAGGTATCATTTGTTCCTGTTTTAAATAAAACCTTTTCTGTAGCCCTGTTCTTTAATAATTAAATGTAAAATGATATGGAACCTACCTTATTCGTGGTAGGAAGTTTCCCATCCTTCCACTGGATCTCTGCACCTTTGGATTTCTAGGTTTGGTGTGCTTTCCCTGCCGTTTGAGTTGCTTTCTATGGGTTACTGAATGAAACTCAGTGGCCAAACAGGCTCCTTATCTTTTGCGCTGCACACGCATGCAGCACCCAGATATTGTGCATCAACGACAAAAATCTCCACCGCAGGCAATCACTTGACGAGTGGGGGTGGGAACAGGAAGGGGGGAGGAATGGATGAATGATACTGTTTCCTGCGCAGCCGAAGTGAGCAGCACGGCGCTCACGGCATCCACGAAGGGCCCTACGCCTTGCCACTGGGATTCCCTTTAGGATCTTGAGAGCAACCTGGGCTGCTCTCAATAGGAGCAAATCATAGGCCCTGGATGTCTTGCTCTTCAGAGAAAAGATGTGACAAAGCTAATGATAAAAAACAGAGCTATAAAAAACCCTGTAAAGTATAACTTTTGCTATTGAATCTTTCAAAATTAATTCTTTTTCATTTCCTCCTCTTCTTTTCTTTCCTTTTCCTTTCTCTTCCTCCTGAGCTACAAGAATAGAAGGACCAGAAATGCACTTTGCACAATGGCAGTTCAGGGAATAATTGTGTTTTGATTTTCCAATTGCTATTGTAGTACATTGCTGGAAAACCTCTGCAAGGACTCAGCCGTTGTGCTGAAAACATGGAGGTGAGTAGCGATGGGCGGTTAACCAAGCAGTTCATTCTTCCTATTGAGTATCACCAACATCAACTCTCACCTGGTAGTGTGTGGTTTTGTAGTTAGATGTTCTCCACCATGAGTTAGGTCTGAGCCAAACAGCCCCCTCACTCATTTCCCTGCTGTGCTTACCAGACCATCACACTCCAGATTTTAGTGTTGGCAGCTGTAATTTGCAATACTTGACTGCAGATGTTGACAGTGCAAGTAGGAGGAGAAGGGTTTCAATCTGGGGAGGTGTCATGGATCAAACACTTGAGTCAACATGACCAGGGCTGAGCATCTGCGGCTGCACCCAGCCCACAGCTGTGACATCTCTTCTCAAACTGCTACTCTGGTGACCGGAGCCAGGTCTCACCACAGCCCGTGGCCAGGGCAGCAAGTTAGGCCTAACCCCAGTGCACTCTCTAGGTCCAACAGGGATCTAGAGGGATTTGCTGTGGTTTGCAGTCTCTGTGTGCCTTACTTGTTGGCATGCTTTAAAGTGAGTAGTAAGGACTATGGCTAGCACATGCTAATAGCACTAAAATTCAGTGGTGGATGAAAGCATCGCCCTCTGTTTTTTTCTCTTCACAGACAACACTTTGAGAGATGCCTCAGAAAGGTACCGACGCAGTATGTGACTGGTTGTTAACCTAGGTTTTGATGGTCAAACAAAACCAAAACCAGCTTTTATGACTGTAAGAACAGTATCTGCAGTTGTTTCTTGTTCTTGCCAGTATCACTTTCCAGAAATTCACTTCTGTGAGCTATTGATGTCATTAGTCACTTGAGTCATGTGGAAATGTTCTCATTTAGTGACTGTATGCAATTAATTCTTTAACGTCCTTTTCTGAATTACTTGGAATCTCTCTTAAGTATTTTTCAAACAAGAGTTGCAGGACTATTTTCTGCCTAGTTATCTCCAAGTTTTCGTTATGCTTTGGAAAATGCCTTAAGCCCAGGCCATTCTTTGCACATGTGAAACACGAAGCTGCTGTGCAGTTGAAGCAAGCAGGGGACGTGTTGGAGGGAGCGGGGATGTGATTAACAAGCGGAGGATGTCTGTAGTCCACCAGAAGTCTATGTAAAGATGAACAGATCAGGAAATGTGTGACTAAACGCACTTAAAAGATATACATGCAAAATGGAAAGAAGTGGCATTGCTGATGACCTTGTATTCCCACTTGGCCTGTATTTAAAGCGATTAATCAGCTTTTTAAAACCAAGGGATGGATGTGCCACGGTCGTTGTTAATGAGAGTTTTACTTGTTGCCTCCCATGCTGCCCTAATGCAAGACTATTTGTGTAACAAACCCAGCTGTGAATTCTGCCTGGAGGTGGGGCAAGGCTGAACGAGGCTGGTCCCTGGGAGAAGAAGGCACCAGATGCAGGCAGCTGCATGCTGGGGCTGGGGTCCTGGCATCAGGAGCTGCCAGCAAGAAGGAAACGAGCATGAAAGGAGCAGTCAATGTGTACCGCTCTTAATAACCATGTGGTGGATGCTGTAAACAATTTAAAGAGAAGGTCCTTCTAGCTGCAGCAGCTGTCTCAGTCCTTGGCTAGGATGTTGCCAAGTCTGAATGTTTGCTGTTTGTTGAAAGGAGTTTGCACAAGCTGCACCCAAATGTCCAAGGTTGTCTGGAAAGCATTGGGGAAACTAGGATGTGTTTTGCAGAAAGCAAAACAGTTAAAGCTGACAAGGACACTTCCTGTGAATAATTAAATATATCTGACCTAAGTTTCATTATTTTAAACCAGGTGCAATTCCTTTCATGATCACTAGGTGGTGAAGTTCAGCTATGATGACTGCATTAAAAGTATATGAAAGTTTATGAAAATGTTTTTGTTGATGTTTTATTTTAAAAACAAAACTTCAATAATAATAATAAATGTAATAGTGTTAACATGAGTACACCAGGAAAGCCTGGAATAAATTATCACCTTCTTATATCTCTCTCACTCTTTCAGAAAGCCTTGGTGCACGAGGTTGTAGCTCTGGCAAACCTTCCCTGATTTTTCTGATTGCAAAAATTCAGAAATGCAAAAAAAGAAAAAAAAAAGTTTGTGAATCTAAGACCTCTGTTTCCAGCTTGGATCTCTGGATTGGATCCAACTTGATCTGGCTCTTTAGTTAATTAGTTATCACATCAGGAGCTGAAGGGAGAGAAAGAACAGCATATGTGTAAGCATATCTGAAGATTTCATGTCCCAATATGGTTTGGGCCGTCTTTTTCCCCAGTTTACTTGTATGATTCAAGGTTGATTATGTGTGGCAATTCAAGTAAATAAATAAATAAATAGATAATACAAGCACGGTCTTTGGGGACTGTAATAATTTACAAAAATGTGAGAATGAGAAAACAGAAACCTGAAAGTTATTTTACCAATAAGAATTTGCATAGTGAACGAGGTGCAGCTGGAGGCTTTCCCACCGAACAGCGTGTGAGCAGTGTGCCAGCTGGGACTGCTTTCAGCACTGCAACAAGCAGCTGGCAGAAAAAGAGAGAAACGTGGGCATAAAAATGACAGGGCAGAAAGGCACAAAAATAATGACTAGGTAGTTTTATGAATTATTTTGCATCCTCTCAGGTGAGCATGTTTGCCCAGGACAGGAACTGGTGTGCTTGAGGGACTGTCGCGCAGTCCTTTGGCTGGTAGTTTAGTCTGCAAGCTAAGCCTGAAAGAAAGGGACTGGGCTAGGGAAGGAGCTTAGACCTCCTGAGGGCAGAAGAGGGGACATCAGTGACCAGATTTTTATTTTTTCCTTATTTTCCTCTGAAACGGTGTATGGCCTAGGTTCCGGGTTCAGCACTTCATTTCCTTGGTCTCATCGTCCTGGGAGAAGAGTAGGCTCTACCCAAACAAGGGCATCGGCCGCTCCTGGATCACTGCTGATCTGTACCTGAGGCAAAACCCCCTAACCAGCTCCTGACTTACGTATAGGTTAAATGCCTCGGGGATACACATACTGCTATATCAATATGGGTGTTCCCCCAGTGCTCCTTTCCCTGGCCCTCTCAGGTCTGCCCTGGGACTGACTTTCCTCTTCCCCGTGCTCAGTCTATTCACCTGTGCCACTTTTCTGGAAAGCCCCTGTCAGCCCGGCTGGACTGCAGCTGGCAGACAGACACACAGATGATTAGTGCTCAGGCTATCATAAAACTAGTTATATTTTAAACTAAGCTATCATAAAACTAGGCTTTGAGTTGAGCATCTACCAAAAAACTAACCTTACACATTTCTGAAAAGTCAAGCCTGAACCTCTGTTCCTGTCTATCTAGTGGTCAGCCTGGAAAATCTTCAGCTTCTGGCTCTGAAATCTGTTATAATGTCCCCCCAAATTTTTGTTGTTCAGCTCGGGAACATGAGGGGCAGGATGAATTTATCAGGCACCTTTTACTGTATGTGATGTGACCGGAATATCCCCAGAGTGAAAGCAAAGCTTATAAAAAAGGGAAGCAGCCACTCAATGGGCCACTTTCTTGCTTGCCTTGCTGAGATCAGAGCTAAAATGATAGTCACTTGCCTTCTTCTCTCTGCAGTCTGGACCCTTGTATCAGGTAATTTCCTTTTATTTTTTATCATTATTTTATTTTGTATTACCTGAGCTGATGAAAAACTCTTGTCAGCCTGCTGATTCACTTCTCTTTGCTGTGGTCTCATCTTTGCACTTCCTACCTGAGGTGACAGAGCGTTGTGGGCCCCGCTGGCCATGCAGGCAAATGCACTCCTCTTACGGGCTTCCAAATGTTTCAGTGATGATTTACCTTGTAGTATCTATGCTTATTTAACTGTCCGTGCATTTATAAGTTACAGGCATGTATATGCATCTATTATCAATGCTCAAGTGGTAAATCAGGTGAATAGTCAAGTGTTTCTTATGGCTGTATGACTGGAAATTTTGTTCTGTGCTCCTGTTTTGGCTGGGATTTGAATCAGAGTATAGCACTGATTTTCTTTAGCCAGGGCAGAAGTATTTATAGTGAGTAACATGGTGGTTGTTAGCGTCTTCCTGGAGCACTAGAAGTGTCTGTATGTTACATTTATTTTTTTAATTAAAATCATGGGTATACGGCTGAATTTGTTCTAAAAAAGCCTCCATGGTACCAGTTTGCATTCTGCCTACAGCACATTGAGCCCTAAACAGCAAAATGTGTGTACAGCTTCACAACTGGCCCTGTGGTCTCCTGCAGAGACCTGCCTGGCCCCAACTGCAGGCAGAGCAGGCAGCTGGCGGGCTATGGGAGGGAGTTTAGATGTGTCCCTGCTGGACAACTGCACCCTCTGGGTGCTGCAGACAATCTCATCTGTCTTTAAAAATTGCAAAGCTATTTGGCTTCCTTGTAAATTGAATGGTATGTTTTCAGGGTTGCAAATTGAATGATATGTTTTTATCCATCTCTGCTGATAACTCTCTTCCCATGCTGCTGTACAGACAGGTATATACAAATAAACTTTTAAAAACTATTTTTCTAAGAGCAACAATACCACGGAGCTAAGCTGTCACACCTGAACGCCTGTTTGCCTTGTCCGTCCCTTGAATAGTTTTTCCACATTTGTCTGTTACTTTGGAAGAGGAGAGTGGTTTGTTGATGCCATGGTGTTTATGCTATGTAAGGTATATTATACTTCTTATTATTGTTTCTCAGCATGTTTTTGGTTTGTGGATCTTCAGGAAGGACTCTGTTGTTTTAGTGAACTTGAGCCTGAGAAAGGAGAACGGAGGACTTCTTTTTTTTTCTTTTTTCTGTTCTGTTTTCAGTCTCTGATAACTGTGTGTGCTTGGTTATAGTGACACGGGTAAGAAGGTTACCTTACAAATCAGCAATGCACTGGGAGCTGTAGGTTAGCACGGCTGAATATTCAGGGGCCCCTTCTGTGCTTCCCAGTGGGCAAATGGCCTCAGCAGAGAGACCTCCTTCGCTGCGGGCACTGGCACCGTTCTGCCCCACTATGCTCCTGACATAAAGTGGGGTGAGAGATGTCACGGCCAGTGAAATTCTCAGGGGAATTCTTGCTAGTCACGTTCTTATTTTTTCCTGGAAGGCTTCTGGAGCTGTTCTCGCAAGCGGCCGTGGGGACACCTGCACAGGCCGTGCTGAATGTGCTGTCCTCTTCTCCCCCAGGATCCGTGCAGGTGATGCACAGAAAGGTCCAGTCGGTCCAGGCAGGTGGAAACGTTACTTTTTCGTGCCGGCTGATCACGAACGAAGACGCGCTACAAGTGACCTGGCAGAAGGAAATGGAAGGGGAAGACGACAATATAGCAACTTACAGCACCGTGAACGGCCAAAAGATTGTGAAGAGCTACGGCAGCAACGTGAGCTTTGCCCACAGTGGGCTACAAACCTCGGCCATCTCCCTTCAGGGAGTCACTTTCCAGGACGAGGGATGCTACAAGTGCATCTTCAACATATTTCCCTCCGGGGCTGTCACCGGCAGGATGTGTCTCAAGGTTTACGGTAAGGCATCGTAACAGCATATTGGATGAGGGCTTTCTGAAGACCAAGCCATTCCCCCGCAGGGAAAACCTGCTCTGGCCACTGGTCACATTGCAAAATCGCTGTGGGAAATCACTCGGTTTCCTCTCTGGCTCTGCCTCCCTCACTGATTTTACCTCTGATGGGAAAGCAGTATTTAGTAGTTCTTTAATTTTCTTCCCCTTGAAGTCAACAGCAGCTAGATTCAAAAGCTGGTGTTTAATATGCAACTTCCTCAAAGTTCCCCTAGGTCTGTGTTGCGCTGTCAGCTGGCCTGCTGCAAGCATGAAATTGAAGCTCCTCTTTTTCTTCTTAACTGTTGCTTCTGTGCATCTAAGCATGTAAATTAAACATTTTTTTAATCACTCTGCCTTCAGGCTTAGGTATGATGTGTCAGAAGGTAGAGCAGCATACATGTGACTAACATATGGGGAAATTGGTTCAGTAGTAAAATTGATAATAAGTTACCTGCAATAGATAGATAGACCAGGTTTGAGAAACAGATGTGAAAAAGGCTGAAATACAGTGCAGCTGGTGGGCTTTGCCACAGGAATATATTGCACAAACCAGTATCAATTACCTTGAACAGTATAAATCAGTGGTAAAAAGTTGTTTTCGACTAGTACCGGATCTTTCTGCTGATAAATCCACACATATACTCATATGCATACCCATGTGCTAGGAGCCTCATTTGCAGGAAACCCCCAGGCCTTGTCTTGTAGGGGAAAACTGACTTAAGCAATGGGAAAAATGATGGGGAAATGTGAGGGGAAAAATAACCCTGAAACAGAAGCTCTCTTTTGCTCCCTTCTTGGAAAAGTTCCTTAAACAAAAAAGGGAAATTAGCGGAAGAAATTTTATATTTATATTTTAGATATTAAGAGGAAAGTGCTCCTAAGAAAAACTCAATGCTGAGTCACGCAGAGGGTAAATGCTGAGTTATACATTACAGAAAAATACGGGACTTTGCTGATAGATCCCTTTCTTGTTGTGAATCTAAACACAGCGTTCGACTTCTTTGTTTTCTTTTGCTTTGTTTACCAGAGTGGGGGAAATATCGCCCAAAATCACCAGCCTTGTGGCTATGATTCATCCCTTAGCTGATCTCCACTCATGAAAAAAAAAAAATTCTGCTAATACGCAAGCGCTTGTGAGCATCTCTTCCTGCTTCTTGGCTGAACACACAGCACTTGGGAAGCGTTCTGCTTCTCTAAGCAGCAGGCATAGGCTGGGGTGGTTTCCCTGCTCCACAAGCCCTGGTCACGTACCAGTGTGCCAGCTCGTGGGCCCGGTCAGTGCGGTGTCCTTGTCAAAGACATCCTGGAATGTCAGTGTAAATAAACTGGGTGTTTGGCTATGGGACTTACCAGCTGTGATGTTCTTCTGTGTCCTTCCCCGGGCTCCTAATATCAGGCACTGCAGAAGAGAGATTTAGATATGAGTGCTCAGAACAAGCAGAGCATGGGAGGCTAGAGAGTTAGTAGTCTGGTTTGTGAAACACAGGATTGAAATTCCTCCTAAATCTGAACGGAGGGCACAGTTAAATGCACTTGATTGGAGAGTGCTTAAAACTGCTTGAGTTTTATTTGAGGATGTACTCATACTACTCCTCACAGTACTCCTCACTAGCTCCTGTGAGCACCCCTTTCTCCATGCCGTGACTCTCCAAAGCTCTTCCTCACCACAAACTGTTATTTTTTCTTTTTTTCTTTTTTTTCCTCACATGGTGGAGCTCATTCTGTGAGGGAATATTATAGTTTGCTTCTGTGTATTTTATTAAATATAACTTCTCTCTCTTATTCCACAACCCACAACAATAAGAATAGCTTATTTGAAAAAAAAAGAAGAGAGAATTCCTGCAGGCTGGGGATGTGAACTTAACAGCAATCCCCTAATGCTCAATAATTTAGAGCAAGGTGAACAGCTTACATAGCCACCAGCTTAAAATGAAATGATGGCATCTGCTTGCCCCCAAGAGGGAACTGCCAGGGGATTTACAGGCTGGTTATTGCCCGATCACAGCAACCTTCTAACAAGGGGTGTTCCAGGATGGGTGCCATCTATGTCCACGTAGCAGCCATGGGGAAATGAAACCATGCTAGGAACTGGATACAGTGCCATGAAAAAATACAGGTATGGATTGGTGGGATTTCAGACCTCTTTGTCCGAAAATAGCAAAGTGAAGAAGGCACAGTCCTCCACCCTGCAACCAAAATCTTTCTAGAGAATATTCACATGTGCTTGGTGGATTTCTTGTGAACTCTATGTTCCTCTTCTCCCTCTGTTTTGGCCTAGAAACATTTTGCAGTGCCAGACAAGGATATATGGAGGATAAGAATGAAACCAGAAAGGGAGACGGTTAGCAGGTGTTGGAAAGAAGGAGATGAGGCATTTGAAGATGGTCTAGTTTTGCTGAGTCAAAATACGCTTTAGGAATTTCTTCACGCTTTCTGGGATTTCTTCAGATACCTTCTGTTTCCTTCCTGATACCTTCTAGCTGCCTGGAAGTCTGCAGAACAGTGGGGAAGTGTCGTTGTTTTTCTTAAATATAGAAAATGAGGCACAGAGTTGCTTATTAATGCTCGTATAATTGGAAAGGGATTTATGTAATCACTAGTTATACAGTAATTCTTAAAAAAAAAAAAAGTCAGTTTCTCTGAGATCAGGGCCAAGTCTTTAAATGAAGAGAACTCACGGTCATCTAGCGCTTTCCCTTTAATAACAGAAGGACATTAAAGATAATCAAGGCTGACACATAATTCACTAGAAAGCCACTTCTTCAAATACTTGGGAAAGCTCTCATGGCTCAAGCTTGAGAATATTTACAGTACTGCTCTGTAGGGTCTACTAATGTAAGTACTTAAGGACAAGATCTGTTTCAGGAGCATTTTCATAGGGAATTAATATTTTGGTGTAAATCAAAAGAAGCAGTTTTGCAAATGCATGCCTCAAACATCAGCAGCAGGCACATGCCCATAACCAATGTGGCAGGACTTTTCTGCAAAAGCAGGTGATAGTAGTTTTTTTCTGTGCATCTATTACAGATATATAATAATGGGAAGACCAACCATATAGGATTTTTTTTTTTTAATATATGATAATCTCTTCCTAGGGTCTAATGTGGAAAGATAGAGGACTGCTTAGTGAGAATAAGAGTGAATTTGGAGGTCATGAGTGCCAGGATATGATGTTGTGCAATTTTCATCATGTCTCTGTGTGTTCATAGTGCTTTTTTCAGCCAAGGCTCACATTATTTGAATTGGTCAAGATTGGAAAATGCCAGACTGGGGCAATACTAATCTGCAGTCTGTTTTTAACACTGATGCTCTGATAAAACCCTTTCACTGGAAATGTTTGCAGCAGTTTTCCTTTACTGTTTCTGGATGTTGAACCCTAATATTTTAAGTTAATTCTGTGGGCGGAGGTGTTATTTTTATGTATCCCGTGAGTGAAAGAAGAAGTTCAAAGATCATTTATTAATCAAAATATAAGCTGTTTATGACACTAGTCCTTTCACATACGGGAGATTTTGAGAAATTCCATCTGAAATTCCCCTAATTGCTTTTCTTTTTGCTTTCAGAGTAACCTTAGTGTGTTTCTATCTGTGGGGCTATGATGGGTTTCTGCCTACAGGTGATGCAAAAAATGAGAAATAGCTGCTTCATTCTTATAAGCAGGCACAACCATAGTAAATGAATGAGGTACAGACATAAAAATAGCATATAATTTCTACCCTCTTGCAGTTATGGCTTGTAAGATCCATATAATTTTGCGAGATGTATATGGAATTGTACGAGGAAGTATAGGTGCCCTTGTGCAACCGGCATATGCCTTTTTTCCCCTTTGACAAGCTCATTTGATATCTTCTGTATCTCTTACACTTGCAAATCCTCATTTACCTGCCCAAAAGGAAAAAGAATATTTTTTTCTTAAGAAGAGTACACAGGATTGCTAAATAATAGCAATGTGTTTACTAGCCTTGTAAAAATAATTTCAGCACAAACATTGTGCTGACCACACTGCAAATTGTCGATTTTGTTTTGTTAATGGTAATACACATAATGCTACTATATACAGTAAAAGATACTTACTTAATCTCAGGGCATTCATCCTAATTCAAACGTTAACGAAATCAGAATAGCCACTGTACTTTTATGTTAAATAAAGAATATTTTCAGCAACAGGCACCTAGAGTATGGTTTGGGCCCCTACACAATCAATGCACTGAAGTAGCAGACAAATTAGGTGAGCCGCTGTGCGGAAACCTGCAGATACCCGCATAGAGTCATGCGCTTGTATAAATCTTGCCCTGAGTAACCCGAACTAATTAGACCATCTTTGAGCAGGAGCTTGGATTAGATGGTCTCCAGAGGTCCCTTCCAACCTAAATTAGCCCATGCACAAAATGCATTAGCCCATGCACATACAAACAGCTTCCACAAGTGAAGTCCTGTGGTGTAACCAGATACAAATCCCCTAATAGTTTGTTGGTTAAGTTGATGAATTTAGATCTTTGCTGCTCAAGTCAGCTCACATAGCAATAAAGATAATTGTGAAGACAAATTTAAAGGACCAGAACAAGAACTCAGTTCAACTATTCAATCATTTCAGACACAGAAGGACATGCAGTTCCATGATTTCTTTTTAATTATACACTAGCACCACTCCTCAGCTTGGAAGCTCCAGTTGAGTTTTGATTTGAACCACGCATGCTTCTACTCCCTTGTGCTCTTTTTTTGCCAAATTCTTTATTTTCAAGCCTGACACTTGATGACCTTCAAGCTCATTTGTCATTTCCAGGCTTTTTGTGAGCAGGAAATAAAATCAGACAACAAGGCTGCTCTTTCTCCTTGATTCTTGCTTAAATGTAAGCAGAAAACAATGGATTTTTCCCCTTTGTGTTTTACAGGCATATCAGACCCCAAAGTAGAAGCTAAGTTTATACCCAGTCCAGACAAAGCCAAAGATAACGACAAAGTGGTGGGAATAAGCTGCTCGGCAACAGGGAAGCCAGCTCCCAAAATCACCTGGCAGCTTCCCAGCACCCTGCAGGAGATACCAAGGGAGCACCGCAGAAGAGTCAGCAACCAGACTGTGACCGTCATCAGCAATCTCACCCTCGCCCTCTCCAAGGTCTTCCAGGAGCGCCCCATCGCCTGCGTGATTCAGCACCCGTCTCTGAACAAGACGCTGGTTCTGCCCGTAGATGGCCTGACGCAGGGTCAGTATCACTTGCTTAGCGCGGGGCGAGGAAAGGGAAAGGCTTCCTGGGCTAGACCATGGGAGAGCATCTCAAAAGGTTGAAGGTACCTTGAAGAGCGGCAGGAGGGAAGAAGGGGGTGCAGGGGAGCTGCGGGGGGTATGGGCATTAGCGGAGCAGCACCTGCTACCTGAGCACTGTGGGTCTGACCATGGCATCAGGTCGCCCAACCGCAGGTCAGCTGGATGTGCTTCTTGGGTAACAGCTGATATGCCCTCCCAGTGCCCACATCAGGGCTTCCTCCTACCTATCGCCTGGTAGGGTATGTTTGAAACACGGCTTTTTTGTTCTTTCTGCATGAAACCATCTGAGCACCTGCTACTTTCCCTGCAGGTCAGGACACAGCTGCAGTGCCAGCCCTTGCCACCACCCTTGGGGTGTTAGTTCCTCTAATTTCCCTCCTCCTACTCAGCTTCCTCTTCTGCTGCTGCCTGAGACAGCTGCATGGACCGGAGCGACACCGAGGCTGGCCCTGCTTGGTAAGTCTGAGCGCCCTCACCTCTGGGCGCACATATGAGAGACCCCCAGGTAGTTTCACAGCTTGGCCACAGTCATGCCAAGAGCATGGGCTAACTGAGACTTGGCTCCTATGGGGCACTACTGGGCTTGATGCCATGTCGAAGG